AACTGGGTAAGTTTGGATAGTTCAGGTATGGATGCCTTCGTTCCAATAATGTAATAAGCTGTGCATCTTTTGTTTGCGAGTAGTTGGTGACATTTTGATAGCGAATTTTGCGAGAATTTACTTATGAAAGATTATTATTTAACAAATGTAGTAAATAAAACCGTTATTTAACCAGAGACAAGAATGATCACGTGCAATAAACAACATATGCCCATGGAGCGCAGCAAGATATAAATGCGCACACGTTCTTTTGTACTTTGTTTCTTCTAATAACTGGACAACATGGACCCACGCGAATATGGAAGATTCATTTTTCAGTACAAAGAGAAATACCCCAAAGCTACTGAAGACGAAGTTTACGATGCATATGTTGCACCCAAACAAAGCAAGCAATGAATACACGTTTATTGGGAGGATACTTGAAATGTATTACGACATGCGTTGGGGTTGGAACATAGAGCAGATACAACAGAAGTCTAATTTCTTTCTAAGTTGTTATTTAATAATTATCTGCATATATACATACTTCTAACTTACAGAGATCCCACCTGCCTCAAAAAAGAGGAAGTTGATAGGAACTCGCCAACTTTGTTTTGCTCTGCATATTATATAATGCAGAATGCACAGCACATCAGACAGCAAAATTTGGCTGACTTTGGCTTTTGTCTCTACAAACTTCAATCATCGTCCCCCTCCAGCTCGAAGCTTATTTCTATCCAATCCTGTCACTCTGCTTAATCTTATGCTGTCGCTTCCCAACGACCCTAGATGTCACAGTTTCAATTTAAAGCTAAAGGAAAATCCGTTATTTCCTGTTCACTTATCCTACATTCAACAAAAATGGCAAGTGATCTCTAGAGATGAAGCTTTCCAACAGTTCTTTCAAGCTGAATTGGATAGATGGACTATTCATAAGAGATTTCTGGTAAGAAGTTATTTAGATCTTTAAGAGGTTTGTTGACGCTGATACGATATTGACACAGGCTGGTTGAAAAGAAATTCGAAAAACGAAGTATTAATAAACTCAATGCGACACACGGGCCACCCGGCTCTGGAAAATCGTTCTTCCTTGATGCCATTGCAGAATTATGCCTAGCCTCTCGCTCTGGTGATAGTGACAAAAAGGAGTGGGCCGACAACATACTCCGTGTTACTTTACCTAGTGATGTTTCGGCTGATTTTGATATTCATATTACACCAGAAGAACGAAACCAACTTTTAGATGAGCTTTTGAATCGTACTGTAGTTGTTCCTATTACCTACATTTCGCGAACTTCGACGCCATTTGATGACGAAAATCCTGGTGTTGCACTTCGAATGCTTTTTTCGTGAGTATTTGCTTACAAATTTATGGTTCCTTTCGGTTTCTCGAACCTTCATTAATTCCCGTATTTGAAGATTTTTTTTTGAACATGAAGAATACATAAAGAGTGAATGGCAAAAGTTTGTTGACTTTATAATTCAAAACTACGACGTCAATAAATTAACTTTGAGCACTGCCTCCGAATGCATCTTGAGTTATCAACCAAATATCAATTTAGATGGAAGTCAAAAACCATGTCGCATTTTCTTGTTATTGGATGAGCTTATGAAGTGCTGTTATAAAGATGGACAATTTGGACCTCAGATTAATATAATTCTCACAGCAATTGGCAGGAATTCCGACGCGATGGCCTCATTTTCATCCATCGTTACCACATTGGATCAACAGCCTGTTCGAATTTCTGCCACAAAATCTGGTCGATCGATTAATTGGCTCCCGCTGAAACCAATTAATGGATCAATACTCTTCCCGCAAGAAAAATATCCAAATGAAGCGTTTCAAATGCTGGTGAACGACTGCAATGATCATCCCCTCACACTTCAAATCTTGGCGCAAGGGATCACACGACACAAGTGGGGACCTTCTGAGCGTTACCATCGGATGTTAAATGATCTATTAACAGATATTGAACTGGTATCACGAATGGGATTGAAACCGACACTGTATCAAATTATCCCAGCTATTCTTAATCAGAGGGTCAGTCCTGAGAAATATGGCTATAAGCTTCAGAAAACGTACGCTGAATTGATAACAGAGAGATCGTATATAAACTCGCTCACACATGAAGACTCATTCATTCCTATCATCTCTTCGATAACCTTGTTTCGATTCGCACGCGCGAGTAAGAACGATGAAGGAGATGATGGTTTGATTGCTCTTATTTTGTCAGATATGCTGGAATTTGAACAAAATGGCTATTTCGAATCATTTGAAAAGTTTCACGCTGGTTGGGAAGCCCTAAAGCGTACTATCCTGGCAATCCTTATTGAAGATGGATATTATAAACATAATTCTTTTTCGCTCAGCAGTTTTTATAACACGAGCATTCAATATAACGCTAATGAATTTAATCCTGAAGCGTTCTACTTCATGCCTCGAAAATGCAAGGTGGTTAATCTCAAACATCACTGGCCGGAAAGTTTGATACTCGAGATAATACATTCATTCCCGACCTCGAATCCGTGTACCTACCAGCAAA